TGTTGCTCTCGATCAAAGCCCCCCCCCCCCCCCCCCAAAAAAAAAATCACAGCAGAGGAAAATAGAGCCTCCTACAGTCTGATTAAAGTAATAGAAAAAGAGGTTAATGGGCTAATGGTAAAAAGTGTGTAAGAGACTTTTGAAAGCCCTCAGCATCACGTCAGTGTTTTGTTTTGTTTATTGGTAGATACACAAATTCCTACACTGTGGAAATCATGTAGCAGTAGCTGAAGTATTGCTGGTGCATCAACACATTTCCTGTTGAAACCATTTTTATGTCTTTCTCACTTCAGTGCTGCCGCCTGTGTTGGTACCAAGGAACAGCGAGTTTAATGCCAAACATACCATGCTGCCTCGCTTCCGCAGTCCTTTACAACAGAACGAGCCACACATGCCCCAGAATGCCACTTTCCCAGAGTCCTTTGCTCAGGCCAACACGATGCCTTTTCCACATTCACCGGGAAACAGCTACCCGAATTCGCCAGGAAGCGGCAGCAGCGCCACCTTCCCTCATTCACCATCCAGCTCTGATCCTGGCAGTCCATTCCAGATGCCAGGTGAACTCTAGCAGTAAATCATCTTGCACTTTTTTTTCTCTTTTCTTTAGAACAGAACATAACAACTCTTGTCTTTGTTTTGTCTCCTTCCTGATTCAGAGACCCCCCCTCCTGCCTACATGCCCTCAGAGGAGCAGATGACTCAGGATTGCCCTCAGCCAATGGATACCAACCTCATGGCTCCACCCTTGCCTCTAGAGAGTCATAACCGACCTGGTAAACATTACAGTTACTATTCCTCTCTCTCTCTCTCTCTCTCTCACACTCACACACACACACACACACACACACACATACATGTTCTTGTGTTCATAGTGATATCATTAAGCTGTTCTCCCTGATCTGGAGCTGTGAAGATTGCTGGAAAGCCTGGTTGTTGTTTTTTTCGTTGTCTTGTGGTCAAACTCAAAATCCAAAAATGAAAGAAAATCATCAGTGCGGTTGTTATGTCATATCCTGCCAGACAAAACCTGAAAAGTGTGTGGAAAAGTATCTGCTAGTTTACAGTGAGGGTCTGACTCCAACTTTCAGATCTGAAATGTGGCGCAGTATCTGCTGGTATCTCAGCCTTATGGTTTGGCCTTTATTGTATCGGAAGAAAGAACTGATCACTGCATTTATGAATTTGTAATAGGCAATGCAGTGTCAGGGTTTTCCCTACCATAGAAAGGCTTCGGTGCTGTGCCTAAGAGTTTTTACAGAGCACCTGAACTGAATGAACGTATAAAGGCGACATAACAGAATGAATGTTAAACGGTAACGCAACAGGAATGACCTCTCAATCGGTGTTTGGACGAAGGTTTGTCAATCAAACAGCAGACTGGATATTTCTCTGTACTGTAAACTAGAGGTCGTAGCTTCAGCTATCAATAGGTTTAACCTCCACAAAGAATACATGAAGTACAACGTTTTTGTTGGGGGGGCATTTTGTGCATTTTACAGTACATTAAGTTGTGTTAGCCAGGGAAGCAAGTTAGTTGATGTTACATAAAGATACCTGGACTATGTTAATGTTAGTGTCTAATGCTTGGTGGCTGACCACTTCAAACAGTGTTACAGGTGAACACAGCCATTCTTCTCCTAACATGTGCAGGGTGTGCAGCCTTCCCCTCTACTGTCCTCCCTGACAGAGATGGTTTTCTATCATCTGTTCTGTTCCTGCAATGTAGTGTGAGAACCCACTGCAGACTGTGATGCAGGTCCTCATCTGGACCCATAATCCCCCCCCACCACCACAAACCAAATCAGCACCTAAGCCCTCTGGAAACCTGGTACTGGACTCCAGCGTCATTTGATTTAAAGTAAAATTCTGTTATTGTAGTTTTGGCCAAAATTTTGATCAGTTATTATGAGAACCTAGTCGGTTGCTGAACGTGGTCCCATGACTAAAACAAGTATGATGGAGGAATACACATCAGATAGTTTTCAGCGATGATAAACAGTGGAAAAAAGACATTGTAAAGAAATTGTAATAACCCAGAATTGTTGCTTAATGTTTGGTGTTTGAATATATTAGTCAGACGCTGCACTGACACACCACACAGGTGATCATAGCTAATTAGACTTACAGCACTTTGGGAAACCAGATTTTGTGTGACCCCTTGTTTTTTTACAACTTTACCAACAAAATACAGTGGTGTGAAAAAGTGTTTGCCCCCTTACTGATTTCTTATCTTTTTGCATGTTTGTCACACTAATGTTTCAGATCAAACAAATTTAAATATTAGTCAAAGATAACACAAGTAAACACATCATGCAGTTTTTAAATGAAGGTTTTTATTATTAAGGGAAAACAAAATCCAAAACTATATAGCCCTGTGTGAATAAGTGTTTGCCCCCTAAACCTAATAACTGGTTGGGCCACCCTTAGCAGCAACAACTGCAATCAAGCGTTTTCGATAACTTGCCATGAGTCTTTTACAGCGCTGTGGAGGAATTTTGGCCCACTCATCTTGGCAGAATGGTTGTAAGTCAGCCACATTGGAGGGATTTCGGGCATGAACTGCCTTTTTAAGGTCATGCCACAGCATCTCAATTGGATTCAGGTCAGGACTTTGACTAGGCCACTCCAAAGTCTTCATGTTGTTTTTCTTCAGCCATTCAGAAGTGGACTTGCTGGTGTGCTTTGGATCATTGTCCTGCTGCAGAACCCAAGTTCGCTTCAGCTTGAGGTCACAAACGGATGGCCGGACATTCTCCTCCAGGATATTTTGGTACACAGCAGAATTCATGGTTCCACTTATCACAGCATGTCTTCCAGGGCCTGAAGCAGCAAAACAGCCCCAGACCATCACACTACCACCACCATATTTTACTGTTGGTATGATGTTCTTTTTCTGAAATGCAGTGTTACTTTTACGCCACACATAATGGGACACACACCTTCCAAAAAGTTCAACTTTTGTCTCGTCTGTCCACAGAGTATTATCCCAAAAGTCTTGGGGATCATCAAGATGTTTTCTGGCAAAACTGAGACGAGCCTTTATGTTCTTTTTGCTCAGCAGTGGTTTTCGTCTTGGAACTCTGCCATGCAAACCATTTTTGCCCAGTCTCTTTCTTATGGTGGAGTCATGAACACTCACCTTAACTGAGGCAAGTGAGGCCTGCAGTTCTTTGGATGTTGTTGTGGGGTCTTTTGTGACCTCTTGGATGAGTTGTCGCTGCGCTCTTGGGGTAATTTTGGTCGGCCGGCCACTCCTGGGAAGGTTCTCCACTGTTCCATGTTTTCGCCATTTGTGGATAATGGCTCTCACTGTGGTTCGCTGCAGTCCCAAAGCTTTAGAAATGGCTTTATAACCTTTTCCAAACTGATAGAGCTCAATTATTCTCTTTCTCATTTGGTTTTGAATTTCTTTGGATCTCGGCATGATGTCTAGCTTTTGAGGATCTTTTGGTCTACTTCACTTTGTCAGGCAGGTCCTATTTAAGTGATTTCTTGATTGCGAACAGGTGTGGCAGTAATCAGGCCTGGGTGTGGCTAGAGAAATTGAACTCAGGTGCGATAAACCAGTGTTTTGACAGGGGGGCAAACACTTGTTCACACAGGGCTATATAGTTTTGGATTTTGTTTTCCCTTAATAATAAAAACCTTCATTTAAAAACTGCATGATGTGTTTACTTGTGTTATCTTTGACTAATATATAAATTTGTTTGACGATCTGAAACATTACAGTGTGACAAACATGCAAAAAGATAAGAAATCAGTAAGGGGGCAAACACTTTTTCACACCACTGTACTTGTATTTTTTTAATCATATTGTACTCAGAGCTTCTACCCACACATAGTGACATCAGTGGCGGGAAGAGCTCTTGAAATGTTTGCTGGACATGGGAGTTTGAGGAGGGTTTTTTTTTTTTTTTTTATTCTTTTGCACAAGCTGCATCCTGAACAGGGGTGTGGGACTCTATTGTGGGCAAGCTCTGGGAAGGGGACAGGCAAAACACACCTGTTAGCCATTGCCACGCTACAGGGGAAGTTTGGGAGAAATATGTACTTAGATAAATATGATTTATTCCTCTTTCTCAGAGAAGATGGGTCCAGCTGGCACTGGCTTGTCTGAGATACCAGGCATAGAGAGCGTGGCTAGGTCCCTTCTATTGACTGTTTTTCTGCTCAATAAAGGCTGGCACACCGACCACAGACAGTCTGCTGGCTTTAGGATTTGTCTGCATTGATTGTGGTCAGCGTAAATGTACACAAATGTAGCCAGTGGGTCCTATATGTTTATTCAGATGATTGTTATGGGCTACAGGGGACAGTTTGAAAGAAACAGCTGTGCAGATGAGTAAGGCTTACAGCTGAGCTGCTGGCATCAGTGGCTCCTGGTGGCTTGTCTGCACAGTGGACTCTTAAATGTATATTTAACATGTCTGTGTTGGTCTCTGTGTGTTCATTGAATTCAGCTAATTCTTGTGACCTGTCGATGCATTTCCTGCACAGATGTGCAGCCCGTGGCCTATGAGGAACCCAAGCACTGGTGCTCCATTGTTTACTACGAGCTTAACAATCGCGTGGGAGAGGCGTTCCAGGCTTCCTCGACCAGTGTGCTCGTTGATGGCTTTACAGATCCCTCCAACAACCGCAACCGATTCTGTCTTGGCCTGCTCTCCAACGTCAACCGCAACTCCACCATTGAGAACACCCGGCGGCACATTGGCAAAGGTGCTGTATGCAAATCCCATCAATGACTCCAATGCCCTGACTGTCAGTAGACAAGCCTAAATCAATTCATTTTGTCAATAGAGATCTGAGATCTAGAGAAGAACAGAACAATAACAACATATTGAGTGAACATTTTAGTATATTGATCTTAGATTAACCGCACTGATCCAGGTGACTAACACTTTATCCTCTCCTGCCACCTCTCAGGTGTCCATCTGTATTATGTCGGAGGGGAGGTGTACGCAGAATGTCTGAGTGACAGCAGTATCTTCGTCCAGAGTCGTAACTGTAACTACCACCACGGCTTCCACCCCACAACTGTGTGTAAGATTCCCAGTCGCTGCAGCCTGAAGATTTTCAACAACCAGGAGTTTGCTGAGCTGCTGGCCCAGTCTGTGAACCATGGCTTTGAGGCTGTTTATGAGCTCACCAAGATGTGTACCATCCGCATGAGCTTTGTTAAGGTAAGATCATCAGTCTGAGAAGAAGAAAAAATAATAGTACTACAATTCTTTGCTCTGTTTTACAGCCAAATAACAAACAGTAACCATTAATACATAATGTCATCAGTAGCTCATGTATTTTCTCCTCATTTTTCCTTTGAAATTTCTGTTGCCGTTTTAACGTGCCGTGATAACTTTAGTTATCACAAAATATCAAGTGTAGAAAACAGTATATTCCGAAAGCAAAACATTCAAGAACTTTTGATTGTGTGAGACCATAAAAATCATATAAAAATGACCTGGTCCTTAAGAAATTTGAAGTGTGAAATGAGAAATGTTACAGTTGAGAAAGAAAAGCAGTTGTGTCCCTGTTCTTATTTTAAACCATAGGTGAATCCCAGTTCACCTAATTGCATTTCCCTCACTCGCGTCTCTTCCTTGTGTCTTAGTCCTGCCCACGTAAGATAAAAGGAAAAGATGCGAGGAGAGAGGAACCGAGGAAGCACGTTTTAAATAACATGAGACGTCCTTTCCTAGAGCCTTTATGTGAAGTGTCCAATCTCAAACTGATTTCCAGCAAAGAGGCATGTCAATCGGTAACAGACTTCTGCAAAGGATACACTCGTGTGTCCTTGGTTATAGATCCTCCAGGCAGCCTCCTCGCTCCTCAGAGCAGAAATAAGAGATTTGGGACGTCCTTCATCATGGAGGACCTGAACAACTTCTGGGTCGAGCATGGATCGAGGAATGATAAAATAAGGGAATTGGGATTCACCTCATGTCTTTCTTTATGGTCCAGGGCTGGGGAGCAGAGTACCACCGCCAGGATGTGACCAGCACACCCTGCTGGATTGAGATTCATCTGCATGGTCCCCTGCAGTGGTTGGATAAGGTGCTAACCCAGATGGGCTCCCCCCACAACCCTATATCCTCCGTCTCCTAGGCATCGCTGCCCTCAGCCCTGCAGCTGTCCATACCCTGGCATTTCAAGTAGCAAGGGGCTAACTGGTACCAGGCTGGTTTGTGGTTCAGTCAGTAACTGATAGAGGTTTTGACTAAAGCACAAGTTGATCTGGGACCTGTAGGGTTGGGCAGGTTGTTCTCTACTTGAAGGGCATCTGATTTGGGCACATTTACAGATTGGGAGAGGAGCAAGGAAAATGAGCGTGATGCAGCTGGAAGATACTTGATCTTTGTGACCAACAGTAATAATTAGACCATCACACTCATCACAACACAAGTATCCTCCTTGATCTTGCTCCCACGATGTCTCTTTTTCATTGTTCTATTATCGTGACTCATAACTAGTTTGCATTTAAATATTCCCTCAGAAATCCAGCTACTCTGTGTGTGTAGTTACAATAATCATGGGACATTCCATGTCACCAAAATTGCAGTCGCTGGTGTTTTCTGTCTGACTGCGATGAGGTTGGCATGAAATGTACTTAAGACATACAAAGTTAGCAGAAACTTGGAGGATGACCATCTTGACTGAAAAATGTGTAATGATCTCCAGATAAACAACTATGCCATTTCCTAAGTGTTCTTTTGTAGGTTAATAAATTAAAGCAGTGCGAAGTTATTATAAAAAATGAAATATGACACATCATGAAAAATAATAGGAGGGCAAAACTAGAGGGTGTTTGAGAGTTTGGAGTTGGATTTGGTGTGGGGCATGACACTAAAAGGGCATTTCAGACATAAAAGCTAATGCTTAAAGGTTGCTTAACTTGTGTTACACTCATGTTTCAAATGAATTGTTTAGGTATATTCACTATTAGAGTATGTGCTGTGCAGTCTGGTTTTGCAAAGTATAGTTTGGTTAGTGTAGTGTTACACATCTAAGACTGGTAGCTAAACATCACATGAAGCAGAGGCAAACATATGCACAGTTTAGTTCTTCCCTTGCTGTATACTCTTCAGCAAAAGCAAATGTGTCAAATACATTGAAGACATAAATATTTCAGTGACCGTGCTTCATTCTCTTATTACATTGACTGAGCAAAAGTTGTTGAGCATTCAAATTTTAATTGTTGACTGAGAAGCGGGTATCAGTTACTGATGTCCCTGTATGATTTTTTTTTTTAAACTAAATGCAGATATTGCCATTTAATTGTTTTATGCTTTGAGCAGTCCTCTTTGCTATCAAACTGTTAAACTCTTTACATTCTTTTTTTTGTATTTTTGAATGTTTTCTGTTTTGTTTGCACTTTTACACATTGCCCCCCCTTTTTTTTTTGTTTTTTTTTTTTTGCCTCCTTTCTGTTTTTGCTCAGTAAAGCTCCCAGAAAAGCAGTTTTATTCCATGAATATCGAGTCTCTACTGGAAGATTCAATAAATTTGTTTCATGACCTGGAACATGTCTTGTGTCTTGCTGTATCTGTGTGACTGTTTAATCACAGGCCACCCATACTTAGAAAATATGTCACTGATATTGTCAGGGACTTTCTGAAATATTAACCACTGCATGTGTATGTGTATGAGTATGTGTGTGTGTGAAGGCACCTCCAAGGGTAAGTAGACCTTCAGTTACAGAGGCACAACAATTACAGTTGCATGGGAAAGCCAACATTACTAGTGTTAAGTGTAATTGCATTTTCCAGTAAACTGCATGAAAATACACAAAATCATATGTTTTCCTTAATTTTATGGGTCATGTTGTGACAGCAGTGGAACAGTTAGAACAATCTTGCTGGAAGCTCCTCCAGAACTCACTGACTAAAATGTGCGTCTGGAGTTTCATTTGACTGTCTGACGTGGGCGGTACGGCTGCACAGTGGTTAGTACTGCTGCCTCCCCAGAGTTTGCATGTTTCTCCCAAATTCCACAGACAAACACATCAAGTGGCATGAAGAGACTCTTTATCTACCATTCATGTTACAGCTCTGCAATGCACTATATCCAAAGTGGGGTAGACTTAATTACTCGTAAACTGATTGAGAAAAGTAAATGAACATATTTTACCACTGCATGAAGAATAAAACTAAAACATCAGGGGTCAAATCTTGTATGTCTTGAGCCATGTCTACACTTTAAAACACATTCATACAGACAACAGTGTATAAAGTGGGCATGCTACTTATAAATGAATTTCATTTTTTCAATAAATACGTTTTTACAGTAGCTTGAACAGACATTAAGTGTAAAAATAAAGGATTTGGTTTTTTGTTTCTTTTTTTTTTTTTTTTTTTTTTTTGGGGGGGGGGACACTGACACTCCAAGTTCCACTGCCATACTAAATGTTAGCCCCCTATTTTATTAGCTGTTCTTTATCCAAGGACTCAACAAAGTTAAATCTTTCATTAACATTGGGCCACCCTGTTCCTAAAAATATGACAGATTTTATGTTTTTACTATTTAGATAATGAGGATAAAAAGGTCTTTCTGATTAAAATCACAAAGGAGTACAAAATCCAAGTCTTATTTATTAATTAATATTTCATTACTGTCAGATAAATGCTCCGGGTATAATTTAAACACTAGACAGCCAGCCTACCACCTATCAGCACACTACTGCGTTATAATTTGAGAATCACAACTTGTTGCCAGGGGTGGAAAGTTACTAAGTCCATTTACCCAAGTATTATACTATTATAAGTACAATTTTGAGGTATTGAGTGTTTCAGTTTCAGATTTGATGTAAAAATGAATTTCTGCTGCCATCTGCTGGCTAAAGCTGCTTATTGTCGTATTTAGATTTTTATTTGATAATTTACATAATGCTTTTTATAAATAAGTCGTAGCATGGTCGTTACGGTCCTCATTTTTAACTAATATATTTCGCCCTTTATTTATTTATAGAGCCTAAAGAAAATTTTTGTATACATGACCCACCGGAAATATTTGTCGTGCGTCAACGGAAACGGAAGAGAATGAATGAAACAGCTGGTTCCGGTCAGTGTGAGTTGATTTTGTTTTATGGCGTTTTTGTTTAAATTGCTTGTAAGTCATGTGTATTTGTGCTCACTGTGCCAACGCATTTTGCGCGGACATAGCGTTAGCTTAGCATTAAGTGGAAAATGACGCTTTATGCTTGTCCCAAGACAGCGGTATGTTTTGTTACTTTTCTGTTTAGCTAACGTTATGAAACAGCTAACAGTAATTGCCCTTTAAATTAGCACGTGCTTCAGAGGCCACAAAATAATTAGGCCAGAATAGGACTGAATAGACTTTTTCCATTTCGATTCCAAAATACAAAATCCATTATTTATTAGTGACGAAGTCTCCATTAACTCATTGTTATTATCATGTTTTCCTCCCAGATGCACCACATGCACCACAGAATGGGACGGTTTGGCCTCTTCTTCCTACGTCACATTTTTTCCTTTCGTTCCACCAGGACATGCTGCCTCCATCAAGGGGTCCTCGCTGGTTCACACCCCTGTTACCGAAGCATCATCCCCGGTCACAGCTGTCAGCACAGGAGGGCTGAGAGCACAGCCCTCAGCCAACACATGCAGGACCTGACTGTGCCTGAGCAGAGGCTCTTGAATAAACTGTACCAAGGGCTGATTGGAGGACAGCGGGCATCTCTAGCTGAGTCCATCACTCTGGTAGAAACCCAGCATCCCAGGAAGAAAGAGCTGGCCCAGGTGCTGCTGCAGAGGGTGCTGGCCTACAGCAGGGAGCAGGAGAGTCGTAATGGAGGGAAACCAATGGCCTTCAGAGTAGGTGTGTTGTCTGGGTTTCTGTATTCAACTGGGGATGTGAGTGAAGACAAGACTAAGACAACTATGTCTCATTTTGAGCAAAATAGGAACGTGCTGTATAGCTGGTGTTTATATCTCTTTGCATGGTGATGATGATGTTTTTACATTGAAATGTTTGTGCTTGTTTTTTGCCATTATATCAAATAAGTCAGGAAGACATTACAAGGTTTCTATTTTCTCAAGGTTAACTGCAAACTGCAACTGCTAGTCTTCAAGTAAATCTTCAAGATAGGTTCTGAGCTTCCTAAGATGAAGCAGTTTTTAGAGACTGATGCGTCATAATTCTGTAGAACATAACCATGTTAAGTATGCATGCAGTACTCTTTTACAGAAGGCATGTTTCCCCCCTATTAATCAGTCCAAAACAAAAGAACATTATATCAGAGTGCAACCTAGATACATTTTCACACACAGATGCTGTTGTCTCCTTATCAAGCCATTATGAGTAACAGGGATTTAGTTTGGTCACCAAGTTTAATTTCAAACATGTAGGGGTGAGATTGAGACTGCTTGTCTTGAATAAAAGAATTTACTGTATTAAGATATCTTTCAATATTACATCACATGGCAATGCAAGTTTATTTGTATAGATGTTTGTATAGATCAACAGGAAGTTGGCTCTGTGTGCAGCAAAGTAACTAAATATAACTGCTGTGTGTTGTTACATCTTGACATAGCAGCTGATTTCATTTAGCTTTTTAGAGAACTATGTGCGTATTCTTCAAGCATGTGAGAAATCTATTTTGGCACCAGTTTTTTTTAAGGTGATTTATGACAAACAGTTTGGAGTCGCCACTAATATGTTACATAGAACCTCTTTCTTTCATAAGCATAAAATGAACCTTTATTAAATAATTTTGTTCACTTATAGTTAAAGATTGTTGTGTCTCATAAACAGACCGCAGAAACAGCTTTTGACAACAGGCCTTGGTGCCTTTTTTTTCTTTTGCTGATGTGATGTTTCTGTTGGCTTTACAGGTCTCTCTGGGCCTCCTGGAGCAGGAAAGTCATCATTCATTGAGGTGGTGGGGAAGATGTTGACAGGACTTGGACATAAAGTGTCAGTGCTGGCTGTTGACCCATCCTCCTGCACCTCAGGAGGTAGCATCTCAGACACAGATCATCTACAGTAAATATGATACAGATATCTGGGGAATGGTGCGAAAACTAATGCAGTCTAATACATTATTCCTCCAATAAATCCTGCTTTCATGAAGATGATAGTGCGTAGTATTTGTTTAAAGAGTAACTAAACCCCTAGGTCTGAGTCTAACTACACTCACTGGATAATTTTGAAAAATGCCAATACAGTGGGCATGGGGCTGAGAGGGAGGCGGGGTGTGGATGTGTCAGGAACTAGCTGGTCAGTGTAACATCTCCTGGCCACAGAAAATGGAGAGCGACACAGATTCACAGAATTTTTTTTCCAAAAATTTACTATGTTTGTAGATGGGGCTGCAAGATAAATTGTTTTGTGAGTGTGATTTAGATTAACCAATGACA